AAAAAAAAAAAAATAATCAAGTAACTGCTACTTAACTTTAATGTCATAATAATTTTCTATAATTAATATATCTGTCGAAGTGTCAGCTAATTTTAGGAGATAAAAAATTATGACACTAAAATTGAGAGACATTAGAAATTTTTTTATAATTTTATAACAATTAAATTATTATAAAAAAATTAAATGAAAAATTCCACATGTAAAAATAATAAAAAAATAATTAGTGGAAATTATTAGAAGCATTTTTTTTATTGTAAGATTGTTTATAAATAATAATAAAATTAGCCGACATTTTTAATTTTTTGATTTTGCTTCATTTATTAAATTAAAACTAAAAAATATTTTTTTCAAATTGTACTTACAGTTTTTTAAATTTTCTACATGTCAAATTTTTTTTTTATTTGCAATAATTTTTAGATGTTAGCTAACTTAATCTATGAAAATTAATGTAGCACATATTGAATAATTTTAAAAATTTTTTAGCAAATGAATTATGGCAAAAAAAAAAACATTGACATCTAGAAATTTTAAAAAATTAAAAAGGTAATTTTTTAAAAATAATTTTTTATAATTAATTTAATTGTTAAATAAAATTAAAAAATTATCAAGTGACAGCTAACTTTAATGTCATACTTAATCTTTATTGTTAATAAAAATTTAAAAAAATTGACAGCTGTCAGCTAACTTCAGTTTCATTAAAAAATGTCATTAGTAACATTCTCAAAAATAATAAAAACAAAATAAATTTTGTCTAAAAAATAATCACTCTATTTTATCATCAGAGTAATCAACAATGCTCACAAATAAAATGTCCACAATGACAATAGAATCCCCTTCTCACTATTTTTTAGTGTCTTAAAAAAACTACCATTGAAACGAGGATTGTCAGATCGCCTAAACCAACTTAACTGTGAAGTTGTGCGTAGACAAAACTAATTCTTAACTATTTCTCACAAATACCACAATATACTATTATTATTATTATTATTATTATTTATTGCCGTCTCCACCTCCTGTGCCCCGTAGGTAGACCTAGACCTAACCATAACTTTTAAATTACACGTTAAATAATAAATAAGCCAAGTACTTAAAACGTCAATATTTATATTTAAAATTCACGACAAATTGTTTATTGAAGAATAAACAAATAAGTTACCTGATTATTTTTATTTAAAAATGATTTGAAAAATTTCATTACCTTGCACAACACAATCGACTAATAGGTATGTTCATTATTTATTATTGTTAATTATTTTATTAACTATTGACCTACTTTATTTATTTATTATTATTTTATCTTTAACTGGACTTATTATTTGTTTAAAAATTTATATTAAAATTTGCAGTCAATAATTTTTTAATTTTATTTAACAAATTTGTTTTGAAAAATTATTTATAAAAAAATTGCAATTTTTATTTTTAAAAATTTTTACAAGTCAATTTTTTTTCATATAATTTATTTGTTAAAAAAATTCTAAAAATTGTTAAATGTCTGCTAAATTAATTTTCATAAATTTTTATATATATATTTAATAATTTTAAGAATTTTATAACAAATAAATTATGGCAAAAAAAAATTGACAGAAATTTTAAAAAATTAAAAATAATTTTTTTGAACAAATTTTTTTGTTAAATAAAATTAAAAAATTGTAAAGTGACAGCTAACTTTAATTTCATTAAAAAAAATAATAAAATTTCTCTTATTTACTCTTTTCCAATTTTTTTGGCACAAAAATAATTAATATTTATTATCAATTGTTTGCATTTAATTACTGTTATTGTTTACTTAAAAATATTGCAGAAAAATAACCTGTCAATTAAAAAAAAAATAATAATAATAATAATAATAATAATAATAATAATCTCAAGATAAATATTTAATTTATAATTATCAGCTGTCACAAAATCTGTGATAGAAAAAAATAAAAAATGAAATTTCATTAATAAACTCCAAAGGTTAATTGGTTGCGTCACACATTAATATTCAGTGTATTTGCTTGCAGTAATTATGTTTAAATAGACGATGATTTGCTTAAAGTGTTATTAAAATTTTTCATTCTGTTTCAGGTATACAAAAATATATATATGTTTGTTTTTTAATTTATATAAAAATATTTTTATGATAAAGCACAAAGTGAATTTTATTTTGGAGTGAAGATTAATTAAAAGTGTTGAGAGAAAATAAAATTAAAAAATGGGAGTGCTGGAATCGTTAAAGAAGTCTTCGTTTGTACACTTGCTATTTGCAATAACATTTTTTACCTCTGGTATAATTATTAATATACTCCAAAGTATTTTGTACCTCGGATTGAAGCCATTCTCAAAGTATTATTATCGAAAAATAAATTACTATCTTTGTTATTCGTTTTACTGTCGTAAGTATCTTTTTAATAGATTTTTTTTATCATCTAAAATTTGTATTTGATAAGAATTCATTAATTATTGCGGAGTATCAAAGAATTTTTAGTGATTAATAAATCATGTTGAATTTTATGTTTAGTTTTTTTTTATATTTGTGGAAGATTAATTACTTAGATATTTATTCTTAATTATATAAGTTACTTTTTATTTGAATTTATCAGTGATAAATTTATAGAAAAAATTTTTACTTACAGAATTTTTATGAAAAATAATTTTTTTTTTTTACAGAATTAGTTTTTATGGCTGAATGGTGGTCAGGTACGGAATTAACTATTTATATTGACAAAAATGACTTTGATAAATATTATGGCAAAGAGCATGGTTATTTATTGATGAACCATAGTTACGAAATTGATTGGCTAATTGGATGGATGTTCTGTGATAGAATAAAAATGTTAGGGGTAAGATGAATTTCAATAATCAATTGTTTCTTTTTTTATTAACAATAATTTTTAATATTGAATATTTTTAATAGAAGCACGTGATAGCGAAAGCTAAATTAAATAAATAATAATAATTAACAACCTTGCAGTCATTATGTGACTTCCGTGACGTGTGAACTATAAATAAATAAAATTTTGTTTTATTAAATAATGACTTTTGTTAAATTGCACTGTAATTTCTTAAATATTGACGTTTTTAAAGATATAAGCTCATTCGGATGTTACACTCATCAAGAGCTTTCATTTGAGTACCCACATGCATTTTGATATATTTTTTATATATACATATATATAATATAT